AGCACCTGCTTAGCCAAAGTATTTGAATACGTAGTTAGGGAGGGCACTTTGATGGATGCGAGGAATGAGCTCTGGGAGCTGCTCCGGAGCTCGTTCTGTGGGCTGATGGTCGAAGCGCAGTACTGAGCGCCCATTAAAGACCCAAGATTGAATTCTTGGGTCTCGTTTATCCCGATAGCCTCCATTCCGCGGCTCATCCAGGTTGAAAAAGGCATCGCATAGTTTGCGTATGACACTTCGAGAGGACCGCCTTGGGACTCATATGCGGCTGCGTTGAATCCAGTCGTTGCATTCGCGAAGCGAGTCTTCGTGTTTGGTGGCGTGAAGTGTACGCTTTTCTTATAATACGGCAGGACCTGGTCGAAGGTATAGCTACTGTCATTGACAGTCGTTGCCCACTGTTCCATTGATTCGCGTGTCGGTCTGATACTGCATTAGCTCAGTCGGGCATTCTCATCGCAGAAGGGACCGACCGTTGGTAAATCATGAAGTTCATAGCGGATCTGCACAGACTCGTCAGTAAGTCTCGACAACCTTTTGGTAGAAGAGAACACATACGAGCCACCCAAGCATTTTCCGCGCGCATAATGTATGGATCTCCCATTAGCACCGGGGACCTTCTCCGCCACAAATCCCCAGTCATGGAGAGCTTTGGTGTTGGGATCCGAGCCGACAGGAAGAACGTCTGCAGCGGGAACTGCAGCTACCGATTCCAATTCATATAGTCCCCCTGCCTCTACCAGGGCCACTTTCAGTGACTTCTGCGCCAACCGGGTGGCAATGACATTTCCACCAGTACCGCCGCCGACAACAACGTAGTCAAATGACGAGTCACCAAAGCCGCGCGCATCCACCCGAGATACGTATGCATCTGACTCGGTACTTGGAACCGCGTTCGTGCCTAGGGCTAGTGACTGCAGCACGAACGATACAAGCGCAGCTCGGCGCATCTTTCCGATAATGTTAGGCAACGGGCGGTCCATCAAAGTTTTGAATGATACTTACTTTAATGTCAATTACTTAATATTGAGACGGGAAATGGCCGGTATGATTTCGCAGGGAGGACAATCAGTCGTCCCAAGCCCAAGGCGTGAGAGCCCTGATACATATAACCACCTCCAGATCATGATGAAATCCACTCCGAGATGAAGTCGGCAGCCCACAAAATGGGACATGCCCGTTAATTTCGAGAGTCTAGCTAAGAGTCAAGACCTGACATCGAGCCAGAATATTCAATCTATACAATTTGATTTGCCCGGTCTCATTTAAGGGGTATGGTTGAAACAACCGTGCCGGTCTTGTACGTATAAACTAGAGCAATACTAGCAGATAGTCCGATCTTACCAAGCCTCAAAATCAGGGCTATTGTGAAGGCGTGGAGATCGGAAATTAAACGCCAGGTCCAGGGGTTCGTTCGTCTTGGACTGGGAGCATCGGCCCGGAACATACATGCTCTGAAAGAGGAGAACCTCGTCGGTATTAGTCCGCTATCTCTAGGGTTTGTTCGTTTGGGAATGATTGTTCGATATCCGGCGAGGGCTTGCAAACAAATTGGTTCGGCAATACCCCGGAGCAGACGAAAGTATCTCTGGTTAGTGTATGTCCAAAAATAGGTAAAGGGAACAAATGTAGTTAGCTTTTAGTTTCAACATAGAACTTGAACCGAGTCAAAACCCAACTTTGAGTCGGATCCACAGTCATCGTACGGACCCACTGTTTGGTTCATGGGCTGACTCGTGGAGTAGAACAGAGATCGCTCATACTCGACTCTGCGTTCTTTTGTTCTATTCTTATTTTATTTTATTTTATTTTTGTTCCTTTGTCGATTTCTAACTTGTGAGTTAGTAGCCGAGATGCAGTCGTATGAAAAAGAGCTCTCATTTTGGTCGACACTCGGTATAAATTGTTCTATGATCTAGTATAATCGGGGTATATTCATTCGACTGAGCACTTTTCAAGACTCGTACCTACGGATACCACGGTAAGGTGTCAATCCCGAATCAATATATTGAATCGCATGATCTAGAGGGCCGCCGGTATCTACCACCTTGTGCTGGGAATGAAAAGGAAATGATAATCAATATTAAGAAAACAGGCAGTATAGTAGATTGATCAAGGAAGAAAGAGATGTCCCAAAGCTCCTAACCTCTTAATGAAGAGAGATGTAACACTTGTATCGAGCTATCTACGAGTGAGATGTATGGGGCTGAAGAAGAGGTAAGTGAAACTAAAAATATAAGATCGATTACTACCATCCCTTCATTCACGGCTGAAGCGAACGAATCAACATCTGATGCTGTACATGCGAAGCTACCCAAACCTAGGGTCTTAGAACAGCAACTCCACTCAAGAGCTGCCAGTGATGTGTTCGTTGACGTGCAGTGTATCCGGCTACACCTTTAGCTCCGACACTTTGCCCTCTCCATTGAAACGTAAGAGGATCACTACTTCATGGTCCATTAGCATATCTACAGTGAAATGTTAGTCATATGAAACGAGCCTTGTCTTCCGGAATTCATATCAGTGTCGCCCCCTGAGCGATCTGTGGTAGTCCCCGTCTGGGTCATCTCGCCTGGCAGACGGGCAACTAGGACAATGATAGGGTGTCGGTAGTGATTCCATCGCCCACAACACTACACGAGACAAGCAGCCAGCCAGACCAACTAGTCGATAGCTATCACTTCAAGAAGACCGACGTGGTATATATCTGCCTACAACATCCTTCCAGCGATGCTGGTTAGATATGCAGTAGCAGAGTTACATCGTCATCGACATCCCAGGGCTAATTGACCCAGCGCACCTACTGACAGCCCTGCGACGGCGTCGTGGAAGCTCATCTGATCCTTCGACCCGGGTTTGTGCCTACCAAGACACCACTGTACAAGCAAGTGATCCTCCGCACGATGGTCAGCATCACAGAAGCCAAGCTGTCCGCGTCCACTGTGAATGACCTCTGCCGCCAGGGCACAACTACCGCTTTGGCACTAGGAGCGCCTTATCTGCATGTCATGTCAAAACACAAATCAATATAAATTAACCCATGCGGCTTTTGCACGCCCACTACGACGCGGTTGCCGTCTCCCCCCTCATGCATGAATTAAGCAGAGCCTATGGCGACAATCGTCAACCCCATTTTGCCCAGTCCCGGACCTTCACCGACTATATCGCATACCAGCAAGCACAGAAAACAAACCCGGACTCATCTCCAAGATGTACCACTCTCCCACCCACTGAAATCACAACCCTGGCAACAGTCCTCAAAGCAGCGTGGCCCCTCGTCCTCGCTCAAAAGACTCACTCCTTCCACCATAGTGTTCGGCCAAATCGTCCATGGAACGGAACGCCCCCCCCCCTCCCCGGCATCGAAGAAATCATGGGTACCTGTGCGAACATCTCACCCGTTATTGCACACATCATGTCAACATGATATGATTGCTTTTAACAGCCTTGATAATCACCCTAATCCGTGAGAGCTGTTGTTATACAAGGCAATACATAGCTCGCTGTAATCCACGAATTCACTAATTAAGCCACCGAAAGATTACCCCTCTTCTGAAGAGGCCAGGTGTGCCTCATAGCAAGGTTAAACCACGGGCCTGTCCAGGTACAATCGTTGAAGTCATGTACATTGAGTCGAAGATGACATGTTTGGCATGACCAGGAGAATTTGCGCAAAATGTTCTCAGCACCTGGTGCTGAATCCCTAGCATTCTCCGCCATAAGTAGTTGCTTCTCATAGCAAATGTATAGGAGTGGAGTGAAGGTAATCAAGGTGATTAAATTGGTCTTAATAAGAACCATGCCGATTCGGAATAAGTGACTGTTATTTGCTTTGTTTATATTTAATTTGTCTATGATTCTCTGATAAATACGATTATATTAACGGATTCTTTCATAATACTACGCACCCCGGGTGGCACTACTCTGTTAATCCCTCCACACATTCTTCCTTGAACAACCGGGTATCTTCAGCAATAGCATATTAAAATATTTATTATCACAGTACAATTCCAGATCCTGATGACTGAAATACCCGATTTCCACACAAGATACATCGCTCCTTTGGGGCATCGGAGTTGAATCAAGTTAGGGTTCAAGACTCAAAAGGTGACATCACTGTGGGTTGATATACGTGCGAATCACCGGGAATTAGCCCGGTTGAATTAATTATCTATAACATCATTTCTGCCTCTCTACCATCTGTGCTATGAATAGAAACGATATGATGTATCCTGGGAACAGCGATAAGGGTAATCTAGGTGTTGGTTTCTCTCGTCAGTGGTGATGTGATCGTGACTTTTGCATGTCTTGTTCATTTCCTCTTCTATGACTCATGTTGTATATAGCTCGAAAATAGTGCTTGTATTTAACAAACACTGTTAGTTTCGTATGGATTCTGAAATCAGTCTTCAGTAGAATGAATTTGGCTATGTATCGTCGGACTCGGCGTGTTAGTTAATTCAGGGAGGTAGAAAAAAGGCACTGAACGGTGCAAAGAAAAATATGCAGTGTATGATATCATTGATAATGTCCAAAATGGTATCTCGCTCTATACAAAACGTCTATATCTCTGTACAAAAACAGGCGCTCTCATAAGTCCCAGCGATTCCCGCGGGGACAACTCATCCAGTGGGGTAAAATCGGAGCCATCAGCAGCACACATCGGGTGTGAACATAGTAGTAACCGGGTAAGTGTCCCCCGTCTGAGGTAGTAGTTAGTACCTACGCCCAGAACAACAGGAATGCATTCTCTCGTCATGAACCTGTGTGCGTTCCCCCCTCACCGCATGGGAACCGGCCCGGTCAGTGAGGGTGGGTACGGATGCTTATAATATAAGCAGGCCCGCGATTTAGGGTTAGGGCCCGGGTAGGGGACCAGTTCAACCCGATCCGGTCATTTACTGCCACTTTCCGAGTGGGTCGTTGTCCACCAGTGGCCAATCCGAGCGCGGCGTGAGTGATTTTTGTTTTTTTTTTTGCCTTCGCGATAAGATAGGCGTTCACTCAGCCTCGGTCTCATACTCCTCCCCGCATAGTTGGAGTTGCTGGTGCATGAATGCCCGCCCTTCGGTATTGGCGAATCCACCAATGCCAAATGCCGGGATGATCCGGCACATGCGTGTCAGGGACGCGCCGATCCAGTCTCTGCTGACGCGTGCGATGCGGTCACGAGCCGGGAGCTGCATCGGTCGGTTGTAGAGGTCGAGGCCGAGGAGGTGGATGGGCGTGCTGACGAGCTGGATGGAGGCAGGGATGGCGAGTTGGGCGAAGAGGATCTTGGCGTATTCGCGGGAGGCAATCCAGTCGGGAACTGAGCTGGAGACCACGGCGGGGAGATTGAACGAGCCGAAGATGGTGAGGCCGTCACGGAGAAGGAAGGCGGAGTAGGTTGCGAGTGGCATGGTGCGGATGGAACGGCGCAGGAAACTGCTCTTGGAGACGGCTGTGGGATTGGGGATAGGATTGGTGGGCTTTGCAGCCGGGGGGTGACCGAAAAGCTGGGCGAACTTAACATCTTTCCAGATGCCCACGGACGAGTTGACGACGAATGTAGAGAGGAACGTCGCCATTCCCGCAATGGCGTGGTCGACATCAGGGTAAACCCGGTCCAGGACGGTTTCTGTGGCATTGGCTGCTGCAAATGTTGCGGTGTAGAGGCCCCAAACTAGAAGGCTCGGGCGAGATGTAAGGAAAGTCGCTGGCTGGGTGATGGAGAGCCACAGATGTCGGCGGAACGCTGGCAAGAGAGGCTGGTTGTGCGAAGACTTCTCCACGACAAGTCTAGGGTACTGTCAGTCACATTCTTCCAAGTTTGAACGGTGGCGTTATCGACGATCTAGGGCAAACGTACCGGTCAAGAATCATGACGGCCGGAGTGATCAGTGATGCTGAGCCTGCAGCAGCTATCACATCTGCGGTGAGGAGTTCCGCTAAGCGGTTCCTCGGCATGGTGAAGGGAAATGCCTGGTGGATAGGGAAGTCCTGTTCCATGTTGATTGTGGTAACGTGCTCTCGGGTTCCGGTAGACAGTCAATCCATATAGTATTTACTGGGGTAACGAGGGTTGATTTCCGGGCGCGTCGTTTCTGGCGTGTAACCGTGTACGTCTAGTGACTCAACAGAAGGAAAAGAAAAATAATCAAAGGAATGGGTAACCACAAGAGTCTATGCCAGTTCGTCAGATATAGTTCTGGGGCAGAGGGGAGGGCTCCCGGGGGCACTCACCTATTCTCGCTCAAACGCTGGGGTATACTGGGATAATGATGGACAAAAGAAAGGAACCTGGGGATAGATCCAAGGGAAAGATAAGTAAAGGAGGGGCTATATGAACCACCACTGTCCAAGTAATCATCCAGGCGATCCATCCCAATGAGGCCCAACTGTCAAGCCCACAATATTTACAACGAAGCATGAGAAATTCGGCGCACGCGACCAATCAAACGCGACCGGGCCGGGAACCCGGGTACAGTCGGGGTATTGGGCGGTACCAGCAAGCCGAAAGGTGAGAGTAATGGAAATTCAAGCTTCTCTACCGACTGGGATTAGAGGTGGATCGGTCTTCTAGAAGACGAGCTGGGCAGAGCGAATTGGCGGGCGCCGCGATGCTGGACCGGGTGGAGTTGCCCTAAGGGGGCTGCCCTGCCCTAATGTGCCCTAAACTCCGCATTGATCTACGGCGTACGATACAGTAGATTGTACGATTCTCTGATCGTCTCCCAGGCAAAATAGGACGCAGTAGTACTAACGAAAACGACGTGTCGCCGAGCGATAAGCCCGTCTCGGTAATAACTCGGAGGCTCTCCTGTCACCTCTCGGCGCTTCGCGGAATCTTGTCCAGCCAAGACAGCAGCATCGCTTCCATTTTATAACCCCCGTTAGCGAGCGTGCGAGTCGCCTGGCACAAGATCGGAATGTTTCACCCTTATCACCCTCGGCCTCTTTGTCAATGTGTTTTGTAACGATTTGCAAATACCCTCCAAAGTGGAGCGGACTATATGCAATAAGGGTCCACTTGCGCAGATGATAAGCTGATAAAAGATCGGTGTGCGTCCTGTTCCTGGCGGCTGGACAACGCACCCGTACTGGTCAGCGTGGCTTGTTTCAGGCACCGCATCGACCAGACCACAACGTGATTCTTCAGGATGTGGTGCCTGACTACTCGAGAGTAGATCTATACCAAGGTAGAACCATCAAGCCGGGTCAACAACAATTGCATGTTCTTCTAAGTGTAAGTGGGGTCTGAATAGGGTGAGATTCGTCTTCACAATGCTCCATTGACCTTTCAAATATGGTTAATCCACCACCAGTGCACCAAATTTCATGCAAATAGCTTACTGTATCAAAACTAAAAGCGAATGCCAACTATAGCTGCAATAAATAAAGAAAACGCTTCGAACAGATTGAAATCAAGCAGTCCAGGCATCGAGAAACTCGCCCAGGACAGTTTACAGAGATATTGAAGGTTGTTGTCCCCCGCTCCGATGGGATCTCTCTTACATAAGAATGCAACTACCGAATGTCAGCGTTTCCATATGCAAATAGGGGGGGGTAAGCTGCCTTACCAGCTGTTCTGCTTCTTCGCAGAGGTGTAGAACATCTTTGATTGCGAGGACAAACCCTCGCTCTAAAGCCGAGTTAGCTCCTTTCCTGGACCCACCTGCCAAAGACACCGTAGAGGTAGCCCTTACCTTGTTGACCAGGTCGTCAATCTTCTCTCCACGCTCCAGGACGCTCTCGATAGTCTTGTGGAGAACAATCTTGGTCTCGTCCAGCTCCTTCTGAATCTTCATGATACTGTCCACCTGGTGTGGGTCCTGGTAGGCCGAGATGTATGTCTTCAGGGAGGGGAAGGAGACGGGCTGGGTGGAGGTGCCTGCGTTGGGGTTGAGGGTGAGGAACTCATCGAGGACCTTGGAGAGGATCTGATGGGCGGCCAGCGAGGGATATTCGTTGTCGCTGATAATGACACCGGCGATGCCTTGGGTGCGCGCATACACGTGGAAGGTGAAATCTAAGAACAGGAGGGGCGGTCAGGGGGGATGTGGTCGGGTGGCGAGGAGGCACAGGTAACCACTTGCCTTGCTCCTGGATATCTTGTCTCTGGCCTTGCTTTGTTCTTTCGGCGACCGTCTTGCTGAACATGGTCATGAACTCGCTGATGCTGCCCCTAGTGAAGCGCGAGTAGCTGGTGAGCTCGCGCTCCGCACACAGCTCCACCGCTGGCTGTTGGGCATTCTGTAGGACCTATCAAGCACGGAGCAGGTTAGAGCGACACGACCATTCCAGGAGGGACCTCCACAGACTCACTCCGATATAGAGGATCTTCATTTTGACGGGCTCTGAGGGGTTTCCAGGCTGACTGACGTCGTTGACAGTTGGCTGAAGTTTTGCGGGGATCTAATCTCGGAGGCGGAAAAGCGCCTCGCCTCACCGCCTTCGCCCAACCTTATTCGCGTTCCCCCCATTTTTCTCAGGCAACCACTCACATGCTCCGGCGTAGTATGACTTGTCAGCCTCATCAGTTAGGCAGATACTACATACGTACATCCCATCATGATATATTGAAGCATTACAGTATTATCCTATGTACAAAACGTATCCAGGTCGAACGTCTAAGCCATGTATGACCCCACACTATGTATTCCGGCTTTCGGCGGTCAACGCCTCTCTCTCTTCCACAGTGAAATCACTCTTTGCATGGTGAATCCGCACGAAGAACACAACCACCAGCCCACCAACTAATGCCAGCGCCGTCTCATACCAGAAAACAGCCTTGAAGCTCTTGAACTGGCCCAGGTGTTCTGTTTCCGACTTGACAATATCCGCGAACCCAAGAAAAATGGCAATGCCGAAGTGTAGCGTGCAATTGATCAGTGCCCCGGCCAATCCCTGCTTGGCTTTGGGCAGATGAGTGGTGATGAAGATGTTTGAAATGTTGAAGCTGATGTCGATCCCGACGGTGCCACAAATCATGGCAGGAAAGACGAAACCCCAATATATCCCACCGTCAGGAATCACAGCGAAGAACAGCCCCGAACCGGCGTATCCGATACAGGAGATCAGCATGAGGATTGTTCCCGAGACCTTGTGCATGATAAGCCCTCCTGCGGTCGCAAGGATGAGGCCTCCAACCCCCATAGGGGCTGTCCATGCCACGATTTGTAGCGGGCCTGCACCCATGACATCCGACATGCTGCGAAGAGGGTCAACACAAACTGAAAACGGCAGAGCGGATTCGCACGCAGGCGATTCACTTACTATAGAACTGCATATAAAAAGTATATACCGAGACTCCCGTAGAGCAAAAGCAGTGAAATGACCAGCGGTGTCAGGTATTTGACTGCAAACAAGTCCCCGGGAAGCAGGGGGTTCTCGACCACCCACCCTTCCACGTAGACCATAAGTCCCAGAAAGATCACCCCCAAGCAGAAGCAAACGGGTATGTATGGTGTTTTCCACCCTTGTGGTGCGTAGGAGCTTTCCGCAATCGCAAACACGAGCAGGACAGCTCCTGGTACGGAAAGACAGCATCCAGCCCAGTCCATCTTAACGTTTGCCTTTTTCCTCTCAGCAAAGTCACTGGGAACTGAAAAATATGAAGAGATGAAAGTGACGGCGGAAAGGATTGCTCCAATGAAAAAGTACCATCTCCAGGTGAGGAACTGACTGCAGAGGCCTGAGAAGAAAATACCGGCAAAGAAACCCAACGCCGCGCATGCGCCGTAGACGCTGAAGACGAGATTCTTCCGCGGACCGGGTCGATATGTGCTACCCAAGATCATGATCCCAGACGGAAGGAACGCGGCAAGAGCAAATCCTTGCAGAGCTCGGCAAATGATTAGCATTAGCCAGGTTTGAGAGAAGCCGGCCAGGATTGATGAGACTGCCAGCCAGCCTGCCCCTGCAAGATATAGTACATAACCCCCGTACATGTCTCCAAGTCGACCGAATATGAGAAGCGTTGACGTAACAACGAGAGACAGTGCGGTTGATGGCCATACCACCGACGCTTCTGGGATGTGCAATTCTTTGACCAGTGTCGGAACAAGAACATTTGAGCCAGATATGTAATATTCCTATCAACGAGTTAGCTCTCCATGCTTAAGCAGCATGCATGCAAGAGTTCCATACCGCAAGAATCTGGGACATGACGATGGAAAATCCAAAAGCCAGTTCCGACCAAATGTTCGAGAAGCATGGAGGACGCTCTCGACCAAGTCGCTCGAGGTCTGCTCGGCCTGATTGCTGCTCTAATTGCGATGGAGACTGTGGTGTCCCCAGACCAGGAGATCCTGTTTCTTCAGCGGACTTCTCCATGTTTGGATCTGATCCACTGAGTGGTGTATCTGCAATGGGTGCCATAGCTGGCTAGCTAGTGTGGACTTTGAAAAATGACCAAGACGAAGTCCTTTCTGGGGGAAAGCTGTTTTATATATCGTTCTGCATTTCAGTTACTAATCGATTCATGGAATCTTCAATGAATTTCTAAGTACCAATGCATCGTGGAGACACCACGATCGGCACTATGGACGGTGTCGAAACGCCTTGCCTATTAGGAGGAACCAGTTCGGAACACGCCCACAAGGTGGCCAATGGCTTCTAGTGGGCAGCTGCAATCGAATCGGACCTCTCTCCACTAACACTATAAACGAATTTTTCCGGACCGCGTAGCTTAGTGGCCAAGATGTCAGTCTTGTCTTTAGCCTCAACCTTCCACCTCAACTTCCGTTTTAGGAAGTTGTCGGGAGTGGGGCCAATTCACAGCTTCGCGCCTCTTTCGGGCCTGCTCCTTGAATACCAGCGTATTCTCGCTTAGAATTTCTTTGCATTAAGACCAATGTCTCATGCGCTTTGGGGAAAAGACATTTCTGCTAAGCAATGGCCTCTAAGCCACTAACCCCAGTCTGGGTGCTAGTACACTATCACAATCCTCCCCAGGAAAAGCGTTGGTGCTTTATAAGTGTTCCTCTCGCACCGTCTTTGCTTGCCGCTCTCCTCATCAGCAGTGTTTTCAAAAGTTCTCTACATTTAGAAGTGGTAAATTGAACCGACTGCCTGTTACAAGTTCTTGAACCTCTCGAAAGCGGTGGATGTGCATTGAGATTGACAATGGCTTCTATTACAATGATCGCAGGTTGTCACTTATGATCCATTGTCCATTCCCCACGAAACGTCACTCAGATCACCTAGACTGTACCAACCACAGAGATCCTCGATCGAGCCAAGGGAAGAGCTATTCGTGGTGTCGTTGCTCGGTACATATGTGGCTAGGTCAAGACTCTCCTCTCCTCCGAAAGACGGGCCAGCGCTGGAACTGGGCGTTGCAATATTCCGACCCACTCCCGTCCCAATTCCAAGCACCGTCTGAGCGATCGTCTGCAGCTCGCGCACATTCCTTGCGATTCTCGGCCACACCTCGCCGAGCACCTTGAGACATCCGAGTGTCATCCGGATCTGATCTCTCGCCGTCGACAATTGAGGACCCTTCAGTAGAGAAGCGCAGGCTGACAGTAGCGCTAGCGTGCCCTCGCTCACCATGCAGGTGGTAAATGGCGTATGATGAAATTCAGGAAGCGGCAGTGCTAAAAGGCGGATCTGGGCCTCCACGGCTCGGAGCACGCGCACGGTGTGTACATTAACCAGATCTGGGATGGGTGTGTCGAGGGGTGGCTCTCGGGCACAGCTTGATATATCCTCTACTGCATTGAACTTCAGGGCTGAGAACGGCCGGTGTAACCCGATAGCGGACCTGCCAAATGAGTTCAGACTACGAGGCGACCATTCAAAATGTTGGCCGGCGGAATATGAGGGTGAGCTTACACATGAATGAGCAAGTGAGCTTGGAACATCAGCTCATCAACTTTTCCGTCCTTGTCCATGACCTGCTTGCGATCATTCGGCAATAACAATCGCCATCCGTCCAGACTGCTGTCTGCCGCTTGAATGACGTGCGTCGAGTCTTCTTTAGTTGCGATCTTTGGCGCTACGGATATCGCCGCTGCGGCACATTGTACGGCTCCGATGAGATATGCAAAGGATGAGAAATGGATGGTCTCGGTGGAGAATTCGCGACAGTTGAACTCTTGTAGCGTACGAGGCTCGGGTATATCCTGGCCCCAGGTGAGCTTTTCCAGGGCGCTGAAACGAGACGTCCAACGAAGCTATGGGTGTCAGTACTTACCCCAGACTCGTATTCTAGCTCCTCACAGGGTAGTTCCACCGTAGGGGAAACATTCGCGACTCGAAAGTTCATGGTCCCCAGCGTACCGGTGTAATAGGCGTCCACGGTGTACAGCATCCACCATGTCCGCCTCCAGCATTCCCTCAGCACGGGATCGTCGCGCCCATGCGATGCCGCAAAGTCTGAAAGATACATCTCCAGCTCAAGGGCAACTCTAGTGGCGGCGTCCATCTCCTGTTTGGCGGCGTCTTTATAGTCATACCAGAATAAAGCTATAGAGAGTAGGAGTCGACACTGGACCATGATTGGGTCAGACGGTGATGTTTCTAGAAAGTATGCTTCAAGCTGGTCCCTCAACGAGACTGGCCATTCGCGCGACGTGTAGATATGTCCGATCAATCGCATCGCAGCAAGAAGGGGTGCGAAGCTGGACTGTCTCTGTGGATCTTGATACAGTCTTGTGAGATGTTTCCGGGGTAAGAGAAAAGGGTGACACCCATGGAATTTCTCATAGTATGCCTTAATTAAGGGATCGTTCTCGATGCTATCGGGAGGAGTGGTGCTTGCGCCCGGATACGAGATACCTAAGATGACCTCGCCGACACTGATCCTCTCGCTCGGCTCAGGGTGCAGGTCCCCCGCCATCAAGGGAGCCGTACGGCCCTGGACCTGCGGAATCGTTGTATAGGACTGACTACTCAGGTTGGGAGTCGATAATGTTCCCTCCCCCGCCGCAAGTCGTTGGCGACGATCAGCCAGGCTGCGCGGTCTAGCCCACCGCGACGGGATCGGGCATAGCTACACTCCTGTCCAAGCTCAGCGCAGCGGGTACAGCAAGGCCGCTTGCCATCGCACTTGACATGACGCGAGCGGCAGGGCAGACAAGCCAGCGAGGAGCGCGTGGCTCGACGACTATGGGAGCTTGATGTAGAATTAGAATCCATGAGGGTCGTCTCATCGGTCGATCGTCCAGGTTGAAACGTGGCGGGTATTCATACAGAGCCGGTAACTAATCGTACAGAAAAATACGTCTCTGCAGTTTGGGTACCCGCAATAGCCTATCCATCAAATCGAATAACCGTACCAATGATTGTCGTGGCGAGGCCATATCCACCCAACCTTTACCCCACAAACCGGCGACGTTCTAGATGCGATTTGACCTAGTTACTCTTTCTTTTGCCAGGTATTGACAGTACAAGGGCCATAAATCTACGGCATGATCCCTACGAGACGATAGAGTACACTAGTCAGTCGTCTACTAGAAGCTCCAGGACGTGGACACGGAAAGCTTAAAAACGGTTCCAGTAGAGTCGGGGAATCCAACCGTGGAGAACAATAGATTTTCACGCTCAGTCAGTAAGGAGTGCTCATAGGCCTCTCGCAGCTATCCACTGTTTTTCAACTGCAGATACCCGGGCCCGCTGCGAGGAGATCTGCAAATCGGACTTGGCCGTGGGAAACCAGAGATGGCGCAGTCATTCTTCCTCCAGGAAGTGAGGTGACTGACTGAATAGGCAGATCGGGTACTCGGTGATCCTGAAGCCGTGATAAGGCCATAAACTCAAGATGGATGAACTCCAAGCAAGCGTAACCACCATTGGCTCGGGGAGTAAGTGCGAGAACGCCCCTCTGAGCAAGGACAAGGAGAGTTCGATGTCATTCGTTGAATCTCCATTGCCCTTTCGTCATGTTACAGCCTCGCTCTCGTATTGGCGATGTCCCAGTCGATCGGCGTTGGGCTGTTGGGAAACAGAACCCTCTATCATCCTTCACGTATAAATAGACCCCTTCTCTCGCACCATGGACAAGGTCAATCTATAGCTTATACCCAACCGACTCAATCCACTTACAGAACGCCTTCGAGACGTGTTTGACATGCAAACAACATATCTCGCTATGGAAGAACCAACCTACGATCCGAGGTATGCACACCCACGTTGACATAGCAAAACACATCCAACGAAGATCTTCGCTAATTTCTACAACACCAGCCGTCCTCTTGCGACGACCACCATTGTCTACCAATATAAGCTGGTCAACTGTCCTGGGAAGACTACAGTGGGCCTGCTCGTCGAATACCCGCCCGATGGGGCCACGCCGCCTCATCGGCATGGAGGAGCCTCCGTCTCTGCGTATGTGATCAAAGGCTCGGTGTTGAACAAAATGAACAACGACCCGATGAAGGTGATCGGACAGGGCGAGTCGTGGTATGAAGCCCCGGGGTGCCATCATCGGATTAGCGCCAACGCCAGCAAGACCGAACCCGCGACGTTTTTTGTGAACTTCGTTATTGACACTGAGACTCTGGCGCGAGAGGGGCCGGCTGTTCTGGTGCAGTATGACGAGGAGTATAAGGACATCGTCGCCCAGAAGATGAAGGCTTGAAATCACCGAACTTTATTACGTTCCGTCTACTTGGGGGGGTATGGTGTCTAATTGTTTTGCTAGGGCAAAATGTCATCTTCACTTGGGGTCATCTGTGCACGTTGCAAAACCTGTGTATGTGTGTGTGTGTGTGTGTACATACCTCATGCCAACAGACGGAGATCAACCTGGAGGTTGATCGGTGGATTAGAAACTCTCCTTTTTTAATTATTATCCAAAAATGTAGATCGGTTGCTCAGAAAGTGAGCGATTCACCTTGTTATTCCGATTAGATAGCTCTGTTATTGTGTTGGATCTGTTCTATACACGGTTAAGAAAAGCCGTCAGTAGTAGAATAAGGGAATGCTTTTAAGTAAAAAAATTCTTATTAGGGTTCCAAACATGGTCTCCAGGCTACACCGTCTCGATCGCTCGGTATCTCTCCCCAAAAGTTCTTATGACAGAAATTGTCACTAAGTATAAACGGTGAAACAATAAGAAGCTTGATAGCGATAAGCGAAATCAAAGTTGATTTGCTTGGCAGATAAAAGTCCCATCGTGTGCGAATGAGGTAATTGCGAAATAAAACAACTCATCTCATTATGTCACATCAGGTTCCAGGACACTTGCTGGCCGTGAGACATCACAATGTAGACGAGAGGTGCCGTTACAGATACATAAGAGCAGTCTTAGATTCAGGTAGCCCTGCAAGGCATGCAACTACGTGTTACCGAGCCGTTGTGTCCGTATTGACTTATAATTAGACGGCGAAGACCGATCGAGATTCCCGATAATATACGTCAGGTTCGAAGACCTCGGTGTAGGATCGGATCGACCAGCATAGGGTATTACCCCGGAGGGTAAGCATATTGAACACATCTCACAGGTTACGCAATCGCGAGCAAACTTCAGATATATGCGGGCAGTTCTGAACGGAGCTAATGGCAACCCATCTCGTGGTCCCATTAGCAAGGCTCGATACAGCATTCTCTACGCCGTAGTCCGTCTACTGTTGCATCGGGTGAAGAGGACTCCTATCTGAGAGAGCTTTCGGGTTTCAGTATCTGCAGCTTTCTCTCGCTGGCACCGACCAATTGGATATTTGGGGATCGGGTTCGTGGCACAAACAGCTCACATGTTGCCCATCGATTCGTGTCCGACTGTGTACCTTGATTTTCTCCACGAAAACTGTCCGGGGACCAGACTCCAGAGTGGAGAAATAAGCTCTGAAAGGCGCTCCAATCGGTGTTTAATTCCGCCCGGCAATCGAGGTGCAGCCAGTGTCATGTCCAAGGCTCAAGGGTTCTGCGTGGGTACCCTATATTGCATGGATGCTATTCCGACGGAGATGATAGATCCATGCCAACGTGGGTTGGCGCTATGCAGGACACACCGACCAGCTCCAGACTATTCTTTGTCTGAACGACCCATGTCTATCATGACCGCGTCGAGAAGGTGCATGGATGATTTTATTAGTAGTGCCAAGCAACGAAATTTGCGCGCTCTCCACCGGCAGCGTTGCATTCGTGCAGTGGGGGAGCAAATACGAAGCAGCCTTGTAGGCGAAGAATCGTTCCTTTCTTGGCAGGCGGAAAGGCAAAAAAATCAGAAAAAAAAAATTCAAAATCAAAATCAAGATCACTAAAACAGAAATCAGTAAATGAGCACGTGCGACAGCGAGTTCATGAAACTGGTAGACTTCGTTTTGGTGCCATGATCCACATCGACGAATTCGTCATCTTTTCCAAACCCTTCCTGCTTGCCAACCCTCCCATACAGCATCCGGTGGTCTGGGCGCCAAGGAGCGCTCCGATCTCTTCCAATGGCTGTCATCCTGCATGTCTAGGCATGGCACGTCCTGAACTCCGCCAAACGCTAAAAATCGGACCCCCAAGCATTGTTCACCAATTCACGGTAGTCTCGTTAGGAATCACTTAAAAGGTCCCCCAAGTCTCCTTCCCACTCCGTAGATAATCGAACTTCATTGCCCCTCAGGATCGATCGTTTCTAGATCAGCCCTTCGTCAGTGACTACGTCTGCATAGGGGTGCAGTCAAAGCTTCCTCTCCCATGACGGGCGAAAAGAACATGACCTCAGGGTCGGGAGACTCTCCTTTGAGTCAGCCGGCCCATACTCTTCCATATGATGTCGTGATTAGAGAACTCGGCACCAGACTCGATGAGGGTTTGAGCACGGATGAGGCGAAACAACGTCTGCATCAGTATGGCCCCAACAAGCTGGAAGAAGGCGAAGGCGTCTCCGTCATCAAAATCCTCATCCGCCAGGTCGCCAACGCAATGATGCTAGTTAAGCGACCCACTTTCCTTTGTCATGATCCCCCCCTTCATTGTATAAGAGCTCCCAGAGTCTGATCCAATTCGTCGTTGTAGGTCCTGATTCTGGCCATGGCGGTCAGTTTCGGTATCCAGTCATGGATTGAAGGCGGCTTCATCTCCGCCGTGATCGTGTTGAACATCATCGTCGGCTTCTTCCAGGAGTATGCCGCCGAAAAGACCATGGAATCTTTGCATTCGCTGAGCTCGCCTACGGGTACAGTCTCCCGAGACGGTCAGACCTTCTCGGTTCCCTCCGTGGAGATTGTTCCGGGTGATATGGTTGAATTGCGAACAGGTGATACAGTTCCGGCAGATATCAGGTAGGTCCTCCGTGTATATCATATGTCAGTGCAATGTTGGTTGACGGTAGAATCCTATCAGATTGGTCGAAGCCGTGAACTTCGAGACGGACGAGGCCCTCCTCACGGGAGAATCACTCCCTGTCCAGAAAGAATATGATTCCACTTTCAAGGAGGACACTGGCCCTGGCGACCGTCTGAACATTGCGTATAGCTCCAGCACGGTCACTCGCGGCCGTGCCCGTGGTGTGGTGGTCGGTACCGGTATGTCCACTGAAATTGGTTCTATTGCTGCGGCTCTGCGGGCCAGCAACAGTAAGAAGCGTCCAGTGAAGCGTGGCCCTAACGGGGAGACCAAGAAGCGGTGGTACATCCAGGCCTGGACTCTGACGGGAACCGACGCTGTCGGTCGCTTTCTTGGTGTCAATGTTGGAACTCCGCTGCAGAGGAAGCTGTCAAAACTGGCTATCCTTTTGTTTGGAGTCGCTGTGCTCTTCGCTATCGTTGTAATGGCTGCCAATCTCTTCAGTGACAACAACGAGGTCATTTTGTATGCGGTTGGAACCGGTCTGAGTATGATTCCGGCGTGCTTGGTGGTCGTTCTTACCATCACCATGGCTGTGGGTACGAAGCGCATGGTTGAACG